AAGTAGACAGAAAGAGTATGCAGATCGAAAGGTTAGAGACTTGGAGTTCATGGAGGGTGAACAAGTCTTGTTTAAGGTTTCACCCATGAAAGGGGTGATGCGTTTTGGTAAAAGGGGTAAATTAAGCCCAAGGTATATTGGTCCCTTCGAGGTTTTGAAGCGCATAGGGGAGGTGGCTTATGAGTTAGCCTTGCCTCCAGGGCTGTCCGGAGTACATCCGGTGTTTCATGTGTCTATGTTGAAAAGATACCATGGGGATGGAAACTACATTATCCGTTGGGATTCAGTTCTGCTTGATGAAAATTTGTCTTATGAGGAGGATCCTGTTTCCATTTTAGATAGAGAAATTCGCAAGTTGAGATCAAGGGAGATTGCATCCATCAAAGTTCAATGGAAGAATCGACTAGTCGAAGAAGCCACTCGGGAGAAAGAGGCTGATATACAAGAAAGATATCCACACCTGTTTACAAATTCAGGTACTTCTTGTCCCTTGTTTTTCTTCTTATGATCCTTCGAGGACGAACGATGGGTAAATTGGTATCTATTGTAACGACATGTTTAGTCGTTTTGTGCAGCAGACTTTGATTCTGGAAAAACTGGCAGAAACAACGGACCCCACGACGGACCGTCATGGGCACGACAGACCGTCGAGGGGGTCTCGTTTCAAAACACTTAGAAATTTTGATAATTGGGTACTGAAATCGACTCTCTGAACTTCGTAACGGAATGACAGGACGGACCGTCACACCTGTGATGGTCCGTCACAGACTCTTCAGAGAATTGAGTCTCTGAACTCTGTGACGGAGCAGCAGGACGGACCGTCGCAGGCACGATGGCCCGTCACAGGCTACGTAATCCCAGACTGGGTCGGATTTCTGTAATTATTTTAAGGGGCATTTTGGACTATTCCTGCTTTAATTATAAAGTTAGTGGGTTAATTCTAATAAGTCTAATCACTTGGGGGTTAAAAGAGGTAACCTTAAGTTAATTAGTGGGTTATTATTGTCATCTTTTATTATTAATTATATGCTAATTAGGTTAAAAGAAAGAGAGTTTGAATAAGAAAAAGAAAAAGAACAGAGAGAGAGAGAGAGGGAGAAACGATCGAGCGAGAGAGAGAGAAGAACGCAGCTTTGGGAACTTGCTTGCTTGATTTATAATCTTCGGTGGAGATAGGTTATGGTTTTTATACTATTCGTAGTAAACTCTTAATAGCGAATGATATGTATGGATAGTATTGTAAACCCTTCTATATGCTTAATTGTATGCTTGCATGAATGTGATTATGTAATTGTGATAAAATAAGCATGATGAAGCTATTGAATCCTAAATCTTGAGAAACTCTAATCTACTTTGTTAATGATGATGCCTTAGTATACGAGAAGGCTTGATGAACGAAAGTAGTGAGATTAGGGGATCGGGTGCCACGTTCCGGTACCACGATAGTATATGAGGATCAGAGTGTCACGTTCCGACACCAGGATAGAATATGGATCGGGTGCCACATTCCGGTACCAGGACAGTATATGAGGATCGAAGTGTCACGTTCCGACACCAGGATAGAATATGGATCGGGTGCCACGTTCCGGTACCAAGACAGTATATGAGGATCGGAGTGTCACGTTCCGACACTAGGATAGTATATAGATCGGGTGCCACGTTCCGGTACCAGGATAGAATATGGATCGGGTGTCACGTTCCGACACCAGGATAGAATGAGGATCGGAGTGTCACGTTCCGATACCAGGATAGAATGAGGATCGGAGTGTCATGTTCCGACACCAGGATAGTATGTGAGGAGCGGAGTGTCACGTACCGACACGAGAGGAATAAAGATAATGAATCTTGAAAGATGTTAATATATTCAATCTAATGAACCTAATTCCCAAATGAGTATGATGGGGAGGCGTGAGTCCTCATTGATGTGCTTGGTGTTGTAACCAACGGTTATGGTAATTGTAAATGCTGCATGCTAAGGATATTAGTTGATTTTATGATGTTATCTGATATATACTGTTTTCCATTTTGAGTTTGCCGATGATACCTACTCAGTACTTGTGTTTGTACTGACCCCTACTTGTATATGTTTTCTTTTGTTCATTGTGGAGTGCAGCAAACGTACCGTCATCTTCAACTCAACCGCAACTCTAGCCAGTCTTCATTACACCGGATTTCAGGGTGAGCTAATGCTTCTAGCTTGGACTGGGTCTTCTTCTTCATGTCTTGATGCCTTGAAGTTTCGGCATGGACTAGATTTTCATTTATTTTAGCTTCTTAGATACTCTTAGATTTAGTAATTTGAGATAGATGTTCTTATGATGATGACTTCCAGATTTTGGGAATAATAATAGTTGTTGAGTTTTTAGAAGTTATTGAATTGGTTTTTATTAATGACTTTAAGTCTTCCGTATTACTTTCTGCTGATATTATATTGAAATGTTAAGGTTTAGATTGGTTGGTTCGCTCACATAGGAGGGTAAGTGTGGGTGCCAGTCGCGGCCCGATTTGGGTCGTGACATTAAATGTTCCTTGAAACATGTTAGAAGTCCCTAACAATTGATTAACATTAGAATTTATATCAACATCACTAATTTGAATTCCTTTTTTTATTGGCGAGAGCTTTGGCGGCCTTATATTCAATCGGTTTATAAGTTGACAAATATTTATTTAAATCCACCATCCCACCTTTGACCTCCACCTCTCTATGTATAAAGTGTTGTACAGACTAATTACATATAGCACTAGAGTTTTCCTTATCTTAAGTCATAAATTGCCACACAACAGATGTTTTAGGAATTTGATACTTCATCTTTTCCTTTGTGTAGGTAGCGGGGGGTGGGGGTGGGGGGGGGGGTTGACAATTTTGCTCAATTGGAATTGCAGTTTGAGTTGGAGCTTCTGTTGCCAGACTAGTAGGTGTTTCTTTCACTTCATCTTCTTCCTAATCAACTTATACTTCGTCACCTGAATTTTCATCACAAGTAGTATTACCAGAACGTCATTCTAAAACATCATGATAAATGTCGATATTTTTATCTAAATTAAAATGATGTGTGAAAGAAGTATCAACATAAGTAGAATTATTTGTATTTAATCTAACTCTAGGCATTGATTTAGAAGAAAAATCACCATATTTACTTTTATTTTATTCCTTAATACCATTTTTAGTTAAATAAATGGATTAGACATAATGATTGTTACTTTCTCTTTACCGGGATTTTTTTTGTTAAATTTCATATTTAATAAAATGTATAGTGTAATATAAAAATAATAATAATAACACAAAAACTAAATGTGAAAAAAAATTAAGAAAATAATGAAACAAATGTACAAATGTCTGAGTTAATAGCAAACTTTATCACCAATTCTTAAAGCTTGCTCCAAAAATATTGTTGTAGTTTGTGGCTTGTAACTTGAGTACTTGATAGCAATATAAAATATATATTATAGATATTATGATATTAATTGAAAAATAAATATTATAATATAAATTGAAAATTAGTTGGAATAAAGAATTAAGATTTATGAATAAGAGAATATAGAATATAGATGCGAGAGTAGATAAGTTTGTCAGATTAGTGAAAGATAAATAGGTATTTATAATATAAAAAATGAACCAAAAAGTGTATTTATTGAAACTTTAGAGTTTAAACTAAAGTTTGAAAAGTAGAGGTGTTGGGGAAGTGTATAAGGTCAAATTTTTTTTTACTATAATTGTTTGGGGGGGAAGGGGGAGTGGAGCACACTAGACATTGTCCCAATGGTCCCCAACGGTAATATAGGGATTGAAACAAAAAAATATAAAGGCGTGACTCACTAGACCGCCGGTTCAACGGGGCCAGAACGGGCCAGGTCAAGCGGGACGAAAACGTAAATCGTCCCCTAAACCCATATCCCCCAAACTCAAAAAACGCTGGATCGGGACCAACGAGACGGGTCTCGAGACGGGCCGGTCCATTCCGATCCCCTCCCCTAGGTCTATTTAAGAAATAATATTTTTGAAAAGAACATGAGATGAAAAAGGGTTGGAAGGTGGTTGGATAGAGGTGAGACTAAGTAGAATAAATTGACTTTTTCATTGTTTTTAAAGGAAAAAGAAATTTGACATAAAATGTGTTCGAAAGTTTTTTAAACTAAAGTTTGTTTTTTCTATAACTTTGAGGATCCAGTGCCACATATTATTTTTTAATAAGCCATTTTAGCCATTTTGCCATGTCAGCTAAAGTCTAAAAATGTCTATAGGAACAAATTTGGAATAGGTAAAAGTGTTCAGTAAACCCTAAACCCTAAGTAAATTGTACAAATAACTTAAAGAAGCCTACGATGACTTGAGCCTTTTAAAGATTGAATTTACTACCCCTACGATGACTTAGCCTTTTAAAGATTGAATTTACTACCCAAATTCTAGCCATGGTATACCTAGTCTAGTTCAGATACAGACATCATCAATATGATAACACATGGGAAAAATTACCAATCACCATTCTTCCCCCTCCCCCAAATAACAGAAAATTGATTGCATAAAAAATCATCGTGAATTGTTCAATGCCCTGAAGTAGTAGAGTCGTGAAGAATAAACAGTACAATCAATGCTTATAATCTTGTGTATGGCATGTGACATATATAGTTCTCATTTTTTTTAGAAAAAAAAAAACAATGGGGAATGGTAGTTTGGGGTCAGAGACAAGAACTTGCAAACAATATTTTTGCTGATCATTAACACATAGTAGCTCTCAGTGAACATAAGATCAAGTGTCCTCCAGATTCGACAATTAGCACAGATACTAGCTTCAAGTATACATAAGATCAAGTTTCCTACATCCCTGCCTTGATTCAACAATTAACACAAAACTAGCTTCAAGTAAACATAAGATCAAGTGTCCTCGATCCCTGCCTTGATTCAACAATTAACACAGATACTAGCTTCAAGTGCACATAATATCAAGAGTCCTCCATCCCTACCTTGATTCGATATCGGCGTTCTGGTTTTAGGGTCACAATGTTATTCTCAGCCACACGTGCTTCCATATCTTCTTCCATTGGATCTTCAGTTTGTTGAGCTTCTCCAGCAGCAATGCAAACAGGGAAGCCCTTTGGGTGCAAGGACTCATTACAAGCATCTTCAATTATTCCCTTTGAGAGAGATGCACCCGTTATAGCATCCATGTTCTTATGCCTTGGTACAAAAACTACTGATTTAGGGTTAGTATCTGACGTGTCTATAGTTTGTTGTTCCAATACATCATCCTTTGACTTCTCAACCTCCTCGAGAACATATCCGAAAGCTTGACTAGGCTCATCAATAAGCTCACTAGGTGAATCCAAACTATAACATGTATAATATGAAGGGTTGAGAACATAATCAGGAATCTTCAGCCTACTGCTAATGGATTCATTGCCTTCAGAAGTAGAGTTAGCTGATGCAGGAGCTGCCCAAGAAACTTTTACTTCTGATGCCCCGTCAGATCCATCTTTACAACCAGGATCAAACCTGACCCGTTTAGTAGACTTGAGCTCACCATTCACTGATTTCCTTGCTTTTTTCAAAATTGGCTTCACGTCACAGTGATCCTGAAGTGATTTAGCTGAATGTTGCCCACCAGTTAGAGTGATACCATCAAAATCAGTTTCACATTTCTCCGCTGCATCTGCATCTTCCTTCAGCCTAACTTGTGCAGCCATATGATTTGCACATGGGTCTCGACGGATGTTATATTCCGGAGGATCACAAGATATTTCCTGATCAATAATATTTTTCATGTACAAGCGATCACCAGCATCCTCTCTGCCCTCGGCGACTCTATCATATTCATCTTCCTCCTCCTGCAGAAGCAATCAAGAAAGATCACAAGTCTCAAACAAAGAAAATAGTATCCGTAGCAGTTGAAAACTTTACAAGCCTACAAAGATACTGAGTAACATGCCGATAATTACAATTTAGAATGGAAATGGGTCAATTTACCCTTGAACTGTGCAGCATGGTCCAAATTTCGCCTCTGTTAATAGTTGGGGAAGAATATGACTTTACTGCTTACAAAAATCAGCTATATTTGACCTTTATTTCCAAAGGGCAGAAACTTTTGAGACTAATTAGACTCTAACCCAAATGCAACAGAAATTTCCATGTGGCTCAAAATTAAGCCACAACTTTTTATATTTCTCTTTCCTCCTCTCTCCTCCACAAACATCTCCAAAAACCTTCACATACACACACACAGAGCCCCTCCACCCCACCCCACCCAAAAAAAAAAAAAAAACCTTAACCACTGTCACCTTTTGCAAAAAGTAAGATCACAGTTTAGCAGTAAGAATAATTGACAATGTTTTCAACCTCAAAAAGAAAATTGAAATCCATCCAATCACTAACCCTGACAGAAACATGGAACTTAAAACATCTGGAGTTTTCTCCCTTTTACGACCACAACACCCCCCCCCCCCCCCAAAAAAAAAAAAAACCCCAGAGAAAAATGATCTCCAAAACCCCACCAAAAAGCCTCTATCCTTTGAAAACCACCATATGTACACCAATTTATGTACTAATAAAACAATAGAAGCTAACATACAGAAAAAAAATAGAAATATTTGGAGTTGCAACTTTAGATTGCAGGGTTTGTAAGAAATGATAAGCTGCTCCGTATATTTGAGAGAGAGCAAAAAGGGTGTATTGGGTATTCGCTGAAGGAGCATAAAGCATGGGCTTTTTTGTTCATTGAGTTGGAAGGCTCATTTTCTTGGTTGGGCAGTGATGAAGATTCACCTCGCCTGATTCTTCTGCAATTCATCCTTAAGTTATTGGCGAGCTCTTAGCCCTAATGGTACAATTTTATTCATGGGTATGCAAGTACTACTGTCCTTTGTTTGGTTGTAGAAGACTCTAGTTTTAAGTGGTCAGTGAATGTACACTTCTCTACTTGATTCACTGCATCCTTGAACTACAAAAAACTACAGATAATCAGAGCAGATTTGCCGTTCTAAGATCATCTGTTTCTGAAATTAGTATGTAGATGGGGGTATTTCCTTGTCAAAAGCTTAGGTGTGCCATTAGAAGCTGCTGCTACTCCATAAGAGTTGCTTATTTGATTGTTCTAAGCTTATCTTGTTTCACTTAGCAATATCTATGTCTCTTCTCCTATTTTCTTTCTTGAGATCTAGGAAGTAAAAAATATTCATAGAAAATATCTAGAAGTCAAGAACTGGATAAAAGGCAATTGGTCATCCACGATTCCTCATTATTTTCGGGCAATTTACCGTTTCATGCTTGTTTTTTTTAATAGCTAAAAATGCATCATTTCTCCTTCTGCTTGTAATGCAGAGCACAACTTCTGCCTTGTTTCGCCAAGTGGGTTTAATAGCTAAAAATGCATCATTTCTCCTTCTGCTTGTAATGCAGAGCACAACTTCTGCCTTGCTTCGCACAGTGGGTAGCTAGTATCACATTTCCTATATACCAACTTTCTTTGATCTCTGCATATTTGTGTTTTTACTAAATGGAAGAGGGTGATATTGGCACCTGAACTTTGCAAGGCGATCCAAATCTTCCAACGATTAGTAGGTGCAAGGCGATCCAAATCTTCCCTCAATTAGCAATTCTAACTCTAATTAGGAGAGGGTATTCTTATGCCCCAAAACAATATATTAGCCAACGCCTCAATGTATGCCTAGACAAAAGTGAGACTACACCTCAATGAACAATTATACTTTCACTTGGCTAAACTACCTGGTGTGTTTATACCACGCCATGCCCTAGGACTCGCCCAAAAGAAGCCTTTGAAAACACTGGCATTAACATTGCAACATAAAAATCATGTTCACAACAATAACCTAACCTCTTTCCAATCATTAAGATAATAGAATAGATGTTGCTTAAAAATTGAGTATCAAGCAGTAGGCTTTCAAAGCAAAGTCAAATAAAACAATGACGTCTCTGATCCCCTGGAAACGATACTCTAAATTACAGCATATTCAACAGCTAAGAGGATAGGCCCACATAAATTATGTAAAGGATTGCCGATGCCTGAATTAGCATTTATTGCTTAATAAGTTTGCATTCTGGAAACCAAAAATCCAATGCATAAAAAGTGTGTTTGGGGTATGAGCAAATATTTATTTTGAGACAATGCTATATACTGAAAACGAGGAAAATGACTTGTGTTTACTTATTTGCAGAAGTCACTTTCATTTGTAAATATATCAACTTTTACTCCATGTCACTTGCTTTAGTCGAACTATTGACACTTCCACAGCAACTTCTAATGTCACGGAAACACAACTTTAATTACTTCATTTTTGATGACTCAACAACCCCACTCCTATGCAATAGTTGGCATTGCATAGGTTGGCAAATCATATAGGAGAGGTGACCAAGACAAGGCAAGTCCCTATCAACAATGTCGACCCAGAATTTATCAACTTTTACTCTATATCACTTTAGAAAAACATATATACTCCCTGTAATTTAATAAAAACAAACAAACAAACAAACAAACAAACACCAGATTCCTCCATACGAAATGCCCTTATCTAGTTCAATCTAAAATTAAAATTGAATGCATGAAAAAAGGGAAGAAACATAGATATACCTCATTATCAAGCGTGGAATCTAAGCCAATAGAGGATCTGATTTCCCAAACATCATCAACACCATTTTCATCATCATTGATTACATTTTGGATGTTCCTGCATTTTTTTTTGAATAATTCATCATACGATGAAGAACAAAGGTTATGGTCATCATCGTCTTTCCCTTGCTTCAGTGCGCTTCGATTCCATTCTTTCTTCTCCACATCTTCGTCGCTGAGAGACCACACAGATGCCGACGGCGATAGACAGCCGAATACTTTGTGTAAGCGTGCTCTGAAGCTCTCATCGTCCATGCCTTACCACTTTCTACTTCCTGCGCTTGCTTTAGGTTACCTTTTATACATCATTTGCCTACCACCGCCTTCGATTAGATGCCTACCCAATTTATGAGTCCGATGATTTTTCTTTTTTGGAAAAAAAAAAGTTGTACCCCACTGTGTTTTTCTAATATATTAAAAAAACAAATTTTTATCAATTTGATTTTAAGTCAAAATAATAAAAGACAGAAGTATAACAAAATTTCTCATTTAGCCAAACTCTAAACCCAATCTATATAGGTTGTGGGAGTACTTTCACTTATCCTTAAATAGAATTTGAGAGCCACATTTCATATTAATCGTTTTTATAAAATAAATTTTGATTTCTTTCATAAGAAAAAGGTTTAAAATATCATTCATTTTTCTTTATAAGTCAATTCTTTTCTTAGTTATACTATATATACAATGGAGGAACACAATATTATTGGTGGCCTAAAGTCATATTTTAAAATGAGTGCCTAATTTTTTTTATTTATTTTATAAAAAAATTACTTTTAAATTGCAAAGTGGTGAATAATTATTTTTCAATTGAATTCTCGATTCCTTTTCAATTGGTTAGGATAGCAAGTTAATAAAGTCTCTCTTGAATAAGATCTGATCAACTTTTACTTTCAAAACTTATTTAAGCTAAGATAGCTTCTTTTTGTAAATTGTATTAGATTTTCAACTTCTTTTTCTTGGATTTTTGAATAGTTGGACTAATTTTTGTCAATTGACATATTTAAATTTTAATAAATGATTCTTAAAATGTATATACAGTAAAATAACAAATACAATATCAAAGAAATAAAAAAAACTGAAATGATGAAACTTAATTAAAGAATTTGTTATTAGATCACATTATGCGATGTTGGTTATTTGAAATACTTTTATCTTAATGCTTAAATTAACTATTTTTTTTCTTAAAAAAAGTCAGTAAAAAAATCAATGGACTAAACATTATAATTGCTACTATAACTCCCTCCGTTTAATTTATGTGACATACTTTCTTTTTTAATCTATTTTAAAAGGAACAATCTTTCACCTTTTAGCAACTCTTTAATTTAAAATTTCTATATTGCAGGTTTAATATTACAAGATTAAAAAGTATTTGATATATTTGTTGCATCTTTCATTTTAGAGAATAATATTAAAAAATGCTTGTTTATTTTTAAAAGGCGAAATGACCTGGTAAATTACTATACTTGACTTTGTTTGTCAATTGAACTCTCCTACTCATCACTTTGTCAATCAAAATCTTAAACTCATCAGAACAAAATATTTAAAACCCCTCTGACCATTGACCGAGCTTATGGACATTCATATTAGTGACTTAGAAATATGTGTTATACATGTGCTTGAAAGCGAGTTGAAACAATATTTTACTTTTATAAATCAATTTCACAAAATTAAAAAAATCAGATTCCTCTTATTCAACCTTCCTTCACCTACACCCACCCTTTCTTGTTCTCAAGAGGCCCTCTCCCCTCTATCGTTACCTCTATTCTCAACATTCTTCTTTCTCCAACCTCACATTAACTCTTCTCATCCTCTTTATTTTTTTTTTTGGTACAAATCAGTGGCCTCAACTTCTTGAGAAGTTTTCAATTTTTAGGTTTGAAAAATATGTGTCACTTTTATTAAATGATTTCAACGAGGAGATGTAGAAAATGTGAAGGATGATTGTGACTATTGAAAATTTAAAATTTCATTGATAAGCTTGAAAAGGCTGAAAAAATAATAAATGAGTCTTGTGAATTAGTAAAATTAATCAAAATTTTTTATTGGAGTTCATTGAGTTATTGTTGGTGAAATTGTTATTGATTTTACAAGTTCAACCAAGAAGAATTTGATCTAATGGGTATGAATCTAATGATCAATTTGTGACCAAAAATTAAAAAGATAACTATTTCAAAAGTTTAAGAAATAAAAAATTGATCTATTTGCTTTTTTTATTTTATTTTTAGCACTTAATATCACATGTGGCACTAAAAAATAATGTGAAATTCCATGTGTAATTGCATCCATTACATGCACACTGACTGGAGGAGAAAAGGGCTTATTGTATTATGATGGATTTAAAGGTCTAGTTTGCTAAATGATGAGTATGAGGGTTCAACTGACAAACGAAGCCAAGTATAGGTTCTTTCAAGTTATTTCTTCAAAACTTCGTATCAAAGTAAAAAATAAATAAAAAATGAAAGGGTTAATATAAAAATGAAGGCCCAATAAATTGGGGGCCTAAACAAAAGGCTTAAGTGGCTTCACATTGAAGTCGCCCTGCTATACGACCACAACAACAAAAATATCGATTTTTAACAATTTTCTCAAAACAACAAAGTGAAAGAAACTTTTTGCTTAATTTATCCATGTGTCATCTGTAAATCGATGGAATGCATGACTTATTATATTTTTATTATTATTATTTCATAATATTCCAATTATATAATAAATTTTATTCTTTTTCCTTTACTTCTTTTTCTTTTTCTATTTCTATCATGTTTTTCATTTTTTTACATTCGTTTTTTTTTTCACTTTGTTTTTTCTTCCTTTTAAGGTCCACTAAATCCACTAAACATTTTAAAACTAGATCAAGTGTTAGTAAATTAGCACATCTTCAATTATCATGACATCTACGACTTATACAACAACAACAATATTTTAAATGAAATTTTACAAGTGGAGTCTAGAAGTGTGTAGAAATTATTTCCAAAAGACCCTCGGCTTGAGTATAGCAAATGAAAGTCATTATGAAAAAGAAAACAGTATAGTGATAATTTTTTTAAACCAATGTGCAATAAATGAAGCACAATAAATACATATAATAAAGGAAATGAAAAGCAAATACACTACAAGAATAAGGTTAACAATCGATTATCCTCTCTTCTTATATCTTAATCGATGCTTTCACACCCTTCTATTTAGGGGCATGTTCTAAAAAAGCTAGAGTTGTATCATGATATGTATAATCACCTCTTATCAATACTTTTTTGGGCTATTTCTACCTTTGATCGTACTCGTTACATTCAACCCTTGCACTTCCTCAATAGGATCTCTACATTTCTCCTTACCACTTACCCAAATTATCTTTGTCTTGCTTCCTTCATCTAATATGTCGTATAGGCAACTCTCCCCTTGTCACAAATACTTTTATTCTCGATCCAATTACTTCTGGTATGTCCACACATCTCTGTCTCAACATCCTCAGTTCTAAAACCTACATCTTTTAAAAACGAGAGTCCGTGACTAACTAACACTCTACCCCATACAACAAAGTCGGTCTAACCACCACTTTCTACAAAATATCTCCACGTTATAGTGGTACATACTTATCACACAATACTTTATAGGCAACACTTCACTTCATCGACAACTAATATAATGTGTAACATCATCGCCTATGTCCCCTTCTTTGATTAGTGTAACGACCTATTTTGTCATTATGGTTGCTTTTGAGTCATGCTACTTGGCCCAATGAATTGAGAGTTGGAAATATTTTGAAAAATGAGCAGAGTTAGAAAGCCTGCATATGCTTCATTATAGAAAAAAAATTGTGAAAATAGTGATCAATGTTGCGAACCTTCACCATATAGAAGGAACTATTCGATATATAGAAGGTAATTTCTATAGCAATAAATATGGAATATGATACGCTCAAACTTACTTGGAAAAGAGGTTAGGATCGTTCCCACGAGGAAAATAGTTCAGACTTAACGTCAATCTATTATTACTACTATTTAGTCAATTATTTCCTTAGAAAACAAAGACAATAAAATGAGGGGTTCATTTCTAAATGAATGAAAATAATTATCTAAATCAAAGTAGACAACTAACAGATTCAAATGTTGGAGTTTAATCAATTAATAAAAGTAACTAGGGTTTACCTGTTCCCCACAAGTTCCTAACTTGATAATTCTAACTATAACAATTATTTCCTAGTATCTTGCAGGCAAAGTGATAAGTTATGTATTTCTAAATCCTTCGTCCGGCATCTAGAAAATTTCACTCCGCACCTTGGTCCGGCTACGTGTGTTGTTATACTAACCCTTACCTTTACCTCATATTAAGCATTGTATTCGATATTTGACTAAGTTATTACATCGTACCCAATCAATACTAGCCTATTAGATAACATACACTAAATCTATGTTGATAATTCTTTTCCTATTATCTACATCTTTGGTCCGGCGAGTAGCATTAAGGTGAGTTCTAACGTTGGCCATCCGTTAAAAAGACTTCTAAGCGAAAGAATTATCAATACATGCAAGACACTATTCTAGAATTGTTATTTAAGTTAGATTTTATCTTATTATTCACCCATGGTTCCCACAACCCTAGTTATGGAGTCTAGTTACCCATATTCATAATCCCAATATTCATATATATGATATAAGAATTCATGCACTTACTTTAATGAGAAAGAATAAAATCCAGAAATTTACTTGATTAATCGACAAAATCACCAACAATCAACTCTAGAGAAAAGTGTAACAATCCATAGTCTAATAATCAAAATAATCTCTCCACAAAGAATCTAACATAAAAGTGTCTAATAACAAAGAGTCCAACCGTATGAGAGTCTAACCCAAAAAACGAGGTTTTTACAACTATTTATACAAACAAAAACCTAATAAAAGAAGGACTCTAATTTCTAGAAATCTGTCACAACGCAGCTGGGTTGACGAACCTCGCGATGGGTCGTCGTGGTCACGACGGGCCGTCATGGACTCAGTCGTCCCATACTTTGCAAATTCTTCTGTTTCTCTCTTCATTACCCTCGACAGCAGGTATGATGGATCATCACAGGCACAACGGTCCGTCGAGGGTCTCCGTTCCATAACACTTAAACTCTTGGAATTTGTGTACTAGGACTACTTCTTTGATCTTCACGACGAACCAGCAGGACGAACCGTCATGGCTACGACGGTCCGTCACGCACTTTGTAACCCCACACTTGGTAAGACTTCCCCATATTCCTTCAGCAGCTTCACTACAATGCCACCTATGGACCATCACAGGCACGACAGACCGTCACAAGCTCCGTAGGTGGTAACTTTTCTGCATTTCTTGCTCAAAAACTTCTGCGTTCATCTTTAGACAGATTTCCTGCAAATAAAAATAAACTTACATAAAAATTAATACAAAAAGGCTTTTGGACACACACTAAACTTAAGTAAAA